ACCCATCTATTATTCTGTAATATTCCTCTTTATCCCTGTATCCTCAAAATTTGATACTTTTTTTTTTCCCTTGAAGTCTCAGTCTGGAGTTAATACAGCTACTCTAACTTTCTTTAGTTCTGTTAGAATGGTATATCTTTCTTCATCCCTTTAGTTTTAATCTGTTTGTGTCTTTGTATTTCAAGTGAGTTTATTATATATAATGTAGAGTAGGATCTTTTTTTTTTTAAATCATAGGTTGATTTTCAGATATTGAACCACTTTTATGTCCTAGAATAAACTCTAATCAGTCACATTGTATTACTCTTTTTATATATTGCTGGTTTTGATCTGCTAATTTTTGTTGAGTAATTTTGTCTGTACTTACCAGGGATATTGGTCTTTAGTTTTCTTGTCCTGTCACTACATCAATTTGGTATCAGTGTAATATTTGCCTTATAGAATGAACTGGGAATTGTCTTGTAGTTAATAGAATAGGTTGTATAGGATTCATTTTATTTTCTTCTCAAATGTTTGTTTGAGTTGCTAGGAAAACTCTGAGGGCCTACAGGCACAGGGCTTATGGCATGGAGGGTGGCAGCTCGATTTATAAAAGGGTAGCAGAAAAGATCTTCATGATACAGTTGTTCTGTGTCTTGATTTTGTTTGTAGTCACAGAGATGTGTACATGTGATAAAATTGCTTAAGACTAAATACATGCACACATACATGTGCATGTAAAGCAGGTGAAATCTTAATAAGGTCATGGATTGTTTCAGTGTCAATTTCCTGGTGATGATATTATTCCATAGCTATGCACGGGGAAAACTGGTTGACAAGAATAGCAGATTCCCCAGACCTTCTCCCAACCCCCAGTTTATCCAGCTGTTCAGTAGATATTGGTTAGCAAATAATTTCAGCTTATGTTTTCTGATAAGTGTTTTCATTGTTGGCATTACATGTTCCTAATTTGGAAATTAGATGAATAGTCAATAGAATTAAAATTCTGAAATAAAAGTTAAATCATAACCAGTAATCTCAATTGGGTGAAAAGTCATCGTCCATCTTTATTACAGTGAGCTGTGACAGGGATAAGTAGTTGTGAGCAAAGTCAATATTTTCTTCCGGATGCAGATTTGGCTTCTTTTTAGTATCCAAGGAGGCATTCAGTTGAGACTGAGAACCCTGCACCACTTAGAATGCATGTAGAATTGATTTTGTCCAAGAAAAATTTCAGTCGAGTTCCTATGGAACATTTAATTTTAATTATGGTATTTTATTTTGATATCCCTGCCAGAATGAGAGTTTCAAAATTAGGTGACTAAATGAGTTGATCTTGTCTATAAACAAAGTCTTTTATTCTTCTAAAAGTCTTCTTCATATTTAAATTGAAACTCTTTCATACTATTTCTAACTTCCTATTTGTGATCAGATAGCTTTCAGAATAGGTATGTGAATAAATTCCCATTCATAATCAGATTGTGGGAGAATTCTTTATTATCTGATTTTTATTTTTTCAGAGATGAATAAAATATTATTTAATTCATTTAGTAAAAAAATCATATCTGTGAAAAATAAAAATTGTGCAGTCTACAATTCTAATCTAGCTTTTTAAAAGAAAATATGTGAATATTTCAGTGTGATATTAAATATAAGAAACAATTTTATCAAAATCTAAGTGATTTTTGTTTTCCCTTGATAACATCTCTAGGTATACTCCAGGTTACCCTTGGATATGGTAGGATTGGAGATAGGCATTGAAACATCTTACTGTTATTTAGAGCTAATAAAATTTTAATCATTCCCCTCCTCTGCTATTACATTTATCTTCATTTTGTCTCATTGTGTTTATTTCATTTTTTGTAATAGTTCAGAAATTCTTATTCTTTTCCCCTCTCTTTGGTAGGAATTACATTTCTTTTCTCTACAGAATTGAGACCCAAAGGCTAGTACTCTCATCATTTTGCAAATATAGGCAAAACCTAATTACATTGTGATTAGTGGGGTATAAAAAATTCAATAACAAAAAATGTGAAGGTTGAATTTACTGTGAGATTAGTGAAACAGTTTCAGGGAACTAGTTGGCCAGTAGTTCTGAGAGTCCACCTTGTAAGCTTAGTTATTCCCAGTTCTGGTTGCAGTTTGATGTAAACAAATAATATAATTTATTATGAGAAGTGTTATCAGTGATAGAGATATATAAAATGGTGTTACTGAAGAGATACTGATGTACTCTTCTAGAGAGTAAGGAAGGCTTCATAGGTGGTGTGGGTCTGGGACTTAATGGACAAGGAGAACTGGGAAGGGAAAAGCACATTCTAGTAAGAGGAAACACGTACAGAGAGATGTCAAAGGGTCTGAATGGCATGCACTTTCAGGGAACTACATATAGTTTAGTGTTGTCAGAGGAGATTCATTGGAAGCAGAAGTGAGAAAGATAAGTCAGTTCTTTATTTTTTTTCTCCTTTAGGTAGTGGGAAATGCTTAGGAATTTAAGCTGGAGAATGACATCAGATTTGCATTTTTGAAAGATTTAACTTTCATGATGGAGTAGCTGCTGGATTGGAGGGAGAAGAGACCATTTGCAGGGAATCCCATTAGGAGAACGTCACAAGGGTCCAGACCAGAAATAAGAAGAGGCAGAACCAAGACAGTGATAGTGAAAATGGAGAAAAGGTGTATTTTCAATCTAGTTGAAAATACTGGTACATTTACATTTGTAGTGAAATGGAAGTGACTGTGTTTAGGTTGATATCTTGATATGAAGAATTTTTGAGAATTTGTATTATTTAAAATTACAGCATTGGAAGGAGCATAGGCTTTTATGTCAGACAGACTTGGTTTCATTGGTCAGATTTATTCTCTGAACTTTACTTCCTACTTGTAAAGTGATGAGTTTTACACTATGCAGGACTGTGGTGATAATGAGATAACAGTGCCTGGAGAGTAAAAAGGACAATGTTTATTGAGGACTATCTTGTTTAAGACTTTTATTTTGTTTTTCATTACTTGAATTTTTTTAATCTTTTAAAAATTTATTTTAAATTATGATAAAATACACATAGCATAAAATGTATCATCTTAACCATTTTTAAGGGTACAGTTCACTGGCATTTAGTACATTCACATTGTTGTACAACCACCACCACCACCATCCATCTCCAGAACTCTTTACATCTTGCATAACCAAAACACTATACCCATTAAATAATATTTCCATTTTCACCTCTTCCATCCCCTGGCAACCACTATTCTACTACTTTCTATTTCTGCATATTTGACTACTATACATACTTCATATAACTTGAATCATACAGTATTTGTCTTTTTGTTACTAGCTTATTTTACTTACCATAATGTCATTGTGTTGGGAAAAACCCATCATCCTCCTGTGTTTCTCCTGTACTCTCATACTACTGTCATACTCACAGCGCTTCTCACACCAGATATTTGAAGAGTTTTTCCCCACCAAGAAATCCTCTGGGCTATTAGCTGGGTGTTTTATAATTTCTTTCTATTTTGACACTGTCTACCTGGAGATAGTTTCAGATCCCACAGGTTATGGGCTCGGTCCTAAGACTGCTCTCACTCTGCTTCAGATGCCAATCACAAGTCCAGGTTGTCATGTACTTCTGACTGGTGGCTATAAATCTGAGATTCCTGTGACTCCCTTCTCAGGTTTGATTAATTTGTGCTAGAGCAGTTCATAGAACCCAGAGAAACACTTATTTACACTTACCAGTTTATTAAAGGATATGATAAAGGATACAGATGAGCAGCCAAATGAAGACACACATAGGGCAAGGTCTGGGAGTGTCCTGAGTGCAGGAGCGTCTGTCTCTGTGGAATTGGGGTGTGCCACCTTCCTGGTATGTGGATGTGTTCACCAATCTGAAAGCTTTTCCAACTTCATACTATTGGGGTTTTTTTTAATGAAGGCTTCCTCACATAGGCATGATTAATAATGAACTCTGTTTTCAGCCCTCTTCGTTTCTAGAGAATGGGAGAGCAGGGCTGAGAATTCCAAGCTTTTGATATTGGCTTGGTCTTTCTTCTGACTTGGCCCCTATATAGGAGCCATCCAGGAGCTCACCCAGAGTCACATCATTAGGGCAAAAGTCACTCCTATAACCCAGGAAATTAAAAGGGGTTTAGGAGCTCTCTGCCGGGAACTGGGGGAAGAAACCAATATAAATATTTTTTATTATCTCACGGTCATCAAGGTTCATCTATCTTGTAGCATGTATCATAATTTCCTTCCTTTTTAAGGCTGAGTAGTATTTTGTATGTATATGTCACATTTTATTATTATTGATGTTATTCATGGGACAGTTGAGTTGCTGCCACCGTTTAGCTATCATCAATGATACTGCTATGTACTAAATCTCTGAGAAGACAGTATTTTAAATTTATTACATATATAATCATTATAAATCCTTGTAAGATTGCTACTATTGTTACATTCATTTTCAGGCAAGGAAACTAATGCATAGAGAAGATAAATAATTTATTTGCCTAGATTCACACTATTTGTATATTAACTAAATCAATTGTAACTTTTATTCCTAGTTGGATTAAATCTAAATGCTGTTAGTAAGATATCTGACTCATCCCTAAAGTTTTTCCATGTAGCAATTCACAGGGAAACTTGTAATCCCTTCCAGTTGTTTATAAATGCAGTTACTTCAGAATCATAGATTATTTAACCTGGCATGTAATAGTCTTTTTATTCAATACATTCACATTTTCTTAGTTATGTAAGCTCTTGAATCTCAAAGTGTTGATTTCCTGACTAAAGTTACCTTGACATTTTAAAATGTCTTTCTAATATTATGTAGTGGACTTTTATTTCCACACTGCAAAAGAGCCAGGTGTGTTGTAGACTGTACTTTCCCCCCTCCTCTGTGAACCATTATAAATTTGGCTGTTTATCTTGAATCTGTAAATAAAAAGAAAATTTAAATGCCTCTTAATTGCCATATTGCTGTATTTATTATTGAAATTCCATTTTTTTTCCTTAGTGGAAAAGAAGCCTAAGAAATAAGGTCCTCTCTCTAGACCATAAAAGTAAAAAAGGTGTACGTGGGCGTCCTGCCACTTCTAAGATGTCACCAGAAAGGTAAGATAAATGTATGTGTGTGATGTAATATGGGCTTATACTATGTATAGTGTGACAATGGGTGATTCATTTAACCTCTTTGGGTCTCAATTACCACAGTTTTTACAATACAAAGATTGAATTCAGTGGATACGGTTAATTGTAAGCTCTGACTTTCTGTGATTCTAAGTTATCTTAACTCCTTGTTTTTGTGTGTTTGGAATATCTTGATAAGCCTTAGCTAATAAAGCAAGAGTTATATATAGACTCATTAAAATGCTTGATTCAGCATTTGTGGTCTTCAATGAAAAAGATGCTCCATTTAGCAACTGTTGTCTTATAGTCATATATTAATAAATTATGGATATACTGGAATTAAATATCTGGGGGATTCAAATTACAATCATTAACAGAAGGAATTCAGAGCTAAATTTTTAGTGTTGGACATCAGTAAATGCTTAAAAAGTTGTATTTTCAAAAGGGTATTACCTTTTTTAGAATAGTGAATGAATAAAAAGTGATAGTAACAAAGTAAAAATTACAATTGTTGGGAGTTTGCACAGATTAGAAGATTAATTGGAGTTCTTGAATTTATGTCAGAGCACTCTATAAACTACTAGGTCTAAATTCTCACCTTTCAAGTAAATTGTCTGTAGAAAATAAACATATTGGTGACTCCATATTCTTACTGATTCTTATTTTCCGTCCCTCCTTCCCTTCCTTCCTTCTTTTCATAGTTGTCCTAGTGGGTGTGAAATGGTATTTCATTGTGGTTTTGATATGCATTTCCTAATGATACTGAGTGTCTTTTCATGTGCCTGTTTGTCATTTGTATATCTTCTCTGGAGGAATGTCTGTTTAGATCATTTGCCCATTTAAAAATTATATTGTTTATCTTTTTATTGTTGAGTTATAAGAGTTCTTTATATATCCTGGATACAAATCCTTATCAGATATGTGATTTGCATATATTTTGTCCCACTCAACTTTTCACTTTCTTGATGCTGTCCTTTGAAGCACACCAGTTTTTCATTTTAATGACGTCCCATTTATCTATTTTTCTTTTGTTGCTGTGCTTTCGATGTCGTATCTAAGAAACTGTTGCCTAATCTGAGATAATGATGATTTACTGTTGTGTTTTCTTCTAAGAGTTTTATAGTTCTAGCTCTTGGATATAGGTCTTTTATCTATTTTGAATTAATTTTTAAGTATAACATGAGATAGGCATCCAAATTTGTATTTTGTTTGTGAATATGCAATTGTCCGAGCAACATATATTGAAAAAATATCAATTTTTTTTGCTCCCTTTGTTGAAAATCAATTGACAGTAAATATAAAGGTTTATTTCTGGATTTGGAATTCTAGTCCATTAATCTATATGTCTGTTTTATTTCTGAATTTGGAATTCTAGTCCATTAATCTATTTGTCTTTTTTTATAATCAGTACCACTGTGTACTGCATACTGTATTATTGCAACTTTGTAGTAAGTTTTGAAATTGGGAAGTGTGAGTCTTTTAAGTTTATAATATTTTTCAAGATCATTTGGTTCTGGGTTCCTTGCATTTTCAGCTGAATTTTCGAATCAGTTTGTCATTTTTTAACAAAAAGCCAGCAAGGATTTTGATAGAGGATGTGTTGAATCTGTAGACCAGTTTCGGAAGTTTTGTCATCTTAACAAGTTAAGTCTTCTGATTAATGAATATGAGCTATCTTTCCATTTATTTAGGTCTTCTTCAGTGTGTTTCAACAGTGTTTTGTAGCTTTCAGTGTGTCTTGGACTTTTATCGTTAAATTTGTTTCCAAGTATTTTTTTTTGATGCTGTTGTGAATAGAAGTGTTTTAGGAATCCCACTGATTTATGTATGTTGACCTTATATACTGTGACCCTGTTTGTCTTATTAGGTCTAGGAGTTTTTAGTAGATTCCTTAGAATTTTGTATATCCAAGATCATGTCATCTCCAAGTAAAGACAGTTTTACTTCTTCCTTTTCAACTAGAGGCTTTTAATTTTTTTTCTCCTTGCCTAATTGCCCTGGCTAGAACTTAGACAATGTATAATGGAAGAGGTGAGAGTGGAAATCTTTTGTTTTGTTCCCACTCTCAGAGGGAAAGCATTCAGTATTTCACCATTAGGTATGATGTTAGCTATAGGTTTTTTCATTGATGTCCTGCTATGGTTTGAATGTTTGTTATCTCCCCAGAGTTCATGTGTTGAAATCCTAATGCCCAAAGTGATGGTATTTAGAGGTGGGGCCCTTGAGGGGGTGCTTAAGTCATGAGAGTGGAGCACTCATGAATGGAATTAGCGCTCTTTTTATTAAAAAAAAAAAAAAGGACCTCACAGAACTTCCTGGTCCACTTTCTACCATGCGAGGACATTGTGAGAAGTCCGCAGTCTACAACCCAGAAGAGGGCCTTCACCAGAACCCAGCCATGCTGACTGGCATCCTGATCTTGGACTTCCCTGCCTCCAGAACCGTGAGAAATAAGTGTTTGTTGTTTATAAGGTGCTGAGTCTGTGATATTTTGTTATAGCCTGAACAGATGAAGACATGCTTTTTTTCATGTTGAGGTAGTTCCCTTCTGCTCTTCATTTTTTGGAGGCTTTTTATCATGAATGTGTGTTGATTTTGTCAAATGCCTTTTCTGCATTTATTACATGTGATTGGTATCCTGTATTAATATAATGTATTACATAAATTGATTTTTAGATCTTAAACTAATTTTACATTCCTGGGATGAATCCCATTTGATCCTGATTGATGATCCCATTTATATATTACTGGATTCAGTTTGCTAGGATTTTATTGAGGAACTCTTATGTTTGTATTCAGAAGGGAAACTTGTTCACCTGCCTTTTTTTTTATGTTGTCTTTGTCTGGCTTTGGAATCAGGCTAATAATGGCCTTATAGAATGAGTTGAAAAGTGTTCTTTCTTCATTTTCTGGGAGAGTTTTTGGAAGATTGGTATTAATTCTTGTTTAAATGTTTGATAAAATTCACCAGTGAAGCTGTCTGGTCACTGGTGTTTTGTGTGTGTTTGTGAAGTTTTCAAATTACAAATTCAAATTTTTACTTGTCGTGAATCTATTGAGATTTTCTCTTTTTTTATTTTAATAAGTCAATTTTGGTACCTTGTGTCTTTCTGGGAATTTGTGTTTTTATGTAAGTTATCTAATTTACTGGCATATATTTGTTCATAGTATTCTATTATACTGTTTAAACTTTCTATAATATTGTTAGTAATGACCCTTCTTTCATTCCTGATTTTAGTAATTTGAGTGTTTTTTGTTGTTGTTCAGTCTGTCTAGATATTTATAAATTTTGTTGATCTTTTCAAAGAACCAACTTTTGGTTTCATCAATATTCTCTGTTGGTTTTCCTTATTCAATTTCATTTATGTCCACTATAATCTTATTTTCCTTATTCTCCTTTTTTTGGACATAGTTTGTACTTCTTTTTGTAATTTCTTAAGGTGTATGGTTTGGTTATTGACTTGAGATCTGTCTTCTTTTCTAATATAGATATTTAGTTTTAAATTTTATTCTAAGTACTGAGTTAGCTACACCTTACAAATTCTGGTATGTTGTGATTTTCTTTTCATTAATCTCAAAACTATTTTCTAATTGCTGGTATGATTGATCCATTTGTTTAATTTCTCCGTATTTTTAAATTTCAAAGATTTCCTTCTTTTGTTGAGATATTGACATACAACATTATATTAATTTCAGGTATACAACATAATGATTCTCTACTTGTATATGTTGTGAAATGATCACCATGATGTACATTACATCCCCATGACTTATTTATCTGTTTTAAATTTTTAATTGAATTCCATTGTGGTCTGAGAACATTTTGTATGATTTCACTTCTTATAAATTTACTGAGGTTTATTTATGGCATATGGTCTTCTTGGAGAATGTTCTGTGTGTTTGAAAAGAAAGTTCATTCTGTTCTATTTGTTAGAGTGTTCTATAGATGTCCATTAGATTGAGTTGTTCGGTAGTGTTACTCAAGCCTTCTGTATCCTTGCTGATTTTCTATCTAGTTGTTCTCTCCATTTTCAAGACTGGGGTTTTTAAGTGTTGAACTATTACTGTTGAATCATTAATTTCTCCTTTTTGTTAGTTTTTGCTTAGTGTATTTTGTGGTTCTATTAGTAGGTATATGTATATTTATAATCAGTATGTCTTCTTGATAAATTAACCTTTGTCAATGAAATGTTCCTCATTGTCTCTCCTTTTTTTTGCTTTAAAGTCTATTTTGTCTAATAATAACATAGCCACTCCACCTGCCTTAAGGTTGCTATTTACATGGTATACCTTTTTCCACTCTTTTACTTTGAATCTGTTTGTTTCTTGAATTCAAAGTGTATCTCTTGTTGAGAACATATAGTTGGATCTTGTCTTTGATATTTCATTATTACCAGTCCCAACAGACATAGTCTAGGTGGCTTATAAACAACAAACATTTATTTTTCATAATTCTGGAGCCTGGGAATCTCAGGATCATTGCACTTCCAGATTCAGTGTCTGGTGTTGGCTTTCTCGTTCATAGATGTATGTTTTTTTTTTTGTTTTTTTTTTTTTTTTTTGCTTTGTCCTCGAGGGATAGAAGGGGTCTCTCTTGAGCCTTTTTATAAGAGCACTAAT